TCCCAATGATAACAAAACCACATGAGGGTGAGAAGCAGCTTCCTGTCTTAGATAAACCAAGTTCCTTGTGCCCATATTTCAACATGTGTGAATTCACAAAGATCATGCTTACAACCTTCTTCCTGATGGTGAACAGATACAGCATGGTGCGGGCATGTCCATGCTGATTTTGGAAGCATGAGAAGTGAAGGTGGAGTCCCATGTCTGGTAAGTGCCTCTCAGGAGACATTTGGAACCAAAGTGTTGGTATGAAACTAGAAAAAAGGCAGCTATTTTAGAATTTTTAAAGCCTTAACCAAGGGGAAAAAAGGGATGTGGCCAACTAAGATTGAACAGTTCATCAAACCACAGATCACCATCAGATCAGTAGTGTTTCTTCCTGGGTGTCTTAGAAAATTCTTTTTGTATATCAAGCAGAAAAAAAACTGAGCTTGAAATGAGCACATGCAGCTTTGGGAAACTATTATTTAACCTTAGATGTCTTATTTTCAGATTTGAGGAGTTTACAAATAAAATGCTTTGCATTCTAAGTGGCCAATAAAATGAACCCTGAAGTACTTTCTCCAATCGGATCCTGTAATTCGAGTATTTGGGTACACATCAAGTCTTCTCTCTAGGTTCACAAGTGGGACACTTTTTTTAAAATTGAGAAATATTTGACATACAACATTGTGTAAGTTTAAGGTATACAGGTATTGTTTTGATCAATTTATATGATGGTATGATTACCATTGTCATGTAGCTAACACTTCTTGATATTGGGTGTTTGGCTGGAGCCCAGGAGGCCAGGCTGGGCTGCAGAGACTCTGGGTGTGGAGTGGCCACAGAGATGGCGGGGGACACGCAATTGTGGAATATGATGGGACGTGACACAGCTTCCAGGAATTCTGGGTATAGGAGAGACTGACCCTGGTGGCAGATGGAAGACATGGGACCAAGCGAGGGACAGGAGCATGTTCAGACATTGCTTCCAGAAAGAGTCCACTGACAGGTAGGGTTCAAGTACACGGTGTGTGAGGCGGCCTGGGGTCCCTGGAAGGTAGGGTGGCCCTGGAGGAGGAAGAGACATTCCTTTCTGTCACTGGGTTTCCCCCACCCGTGCCCTCAGCTTGACCCTGGGGCCCACAGTTGACATTTGGCCTTTGGTTAAAAAATGAATAAATACCAGCCCTGGCTGGTGTGGCTCATGGATTTGGTGCCGGCCTGCGAACTGAAGGGTTGTTGGTTCAATTCCCAGTCAGGGCACATGCCTGGGTTGTAGGCCAGGTCCCCGGGTAGGGGTATGCGAGAGACAACCAATCCATGTATATCTTGCACATCGGTGTTTTGCTCCCTCTCTTTCTCCCTCCCTTCCATCTCTATAAAAATAAACCAAATCTTTTTTTCAATGAATAAATGTCATACATTTGTTGCACAAATAGTAATATGCTACTTTAAAACATTCCCAATTCTGTAGATACAACCAAAAAAAGGCAGTTAAACCCATAATGTGTGTTCAAGAAGTCAAAATGAGGGTTTAATTTCTGGTGGAATAATAAAAATCATGAGGTTTAAGCATGACCAACATAGATGTCAGTGAACATGGTGTCTTGATGGTTCACTCCACCTCCACTCCAGGAGGTGACCCACAGTTCACCCCAGCTCCCCTTCTGTACTGTGGTCTTGGGGTGGGTATGCATGGGGATGTCACTCCTGCCCCCGTTTAGGCTTGCCCAAAATCTTCCAGAAGCTGCTGATAAAAGCTCTCTAGAGCTTGGACCTTGGCCTGCTGCTGATCCCATGGCTGGGCCTGCTGTCCTAAAGCCTCAACCTCCTGCTCCAGGGCACAGCGCCTATCCTGAGCCTGCAGGAGCTCAGCCAGGGACACCAGTGCACTCAGGGCCTGGGCCTCTACTGGATCTTGCTCCCAGTCCCCTGCCTCAACTAGTGGCCAGTCTAGGGAGGCCTCGTCTTTATCATGGGCCCCACTAACATGCAAAACTCCACAGATGAAAAGGGTCCCCAGGTGATATGCCTGCAGGACATCAGCCTGAAGTTGATTCCAAACCAAAGGTCTTCAGGCTGGTGTTCCACCTGGGAACCTGGAACAGGGCAGGGACCAAGGCTGCTAGGAGGTAATGGGACATTTGTGAAGCTACTCTCCTCACTCCTTGCTGCTCCTGGGCTTATTTTTGATGGACACTTTGGTGATGGGGTGAATGAGAACTGGTGTTAGATATTGTTTTCTTAACCGGGTAGCAGACTCTTCAACCAATCTCACCTGATGGCCACAGGCAGATGACCACTCAGGAAACATCAAGGGACACCTTGGGGCTATGTGGGGTCCTGCAGTTCTGAGAGTGGGGGTCGTCTACTGCCCTGGTTCACCTAAAAACCAGGGCACAATGCTGTGACGGCTGTTCTGAGGTTGCCCTCCATTCGGTTGTGGGTCCACTGAGAACTTACATGGAAGTGGGCATGAGACAAGGGCACTCTTGTTGGGTATCCACTGCCATCTGTGGAGCAAGAGTCCAAGGGGCAGATCTTGGTCTTAGGGTTCCTAGGTGAACCAGGGTGCACAATGCTGTGACGGCCCTCACCTGGGCTTTGAGCCCACTGGGAGCTCAAATGGAGGATGGCAGGGGTCCAGGGCACTCTCATTGCTGGTCAGTAGCTGTTCTCTGTGGAGCAGGAAATCCAAGGTGGAGTCCAAGTGGCAGACCTTGGTTTTAAGGGTTGTTGGTAAACCCTGGGCACATGAAGCTATGAGTAAAGTTCTGTGGTTGCCCTTGACTGGGTCTTGTTTCCTTTGAGAGCTAGTATGAAGGTAGGCGGGGGTCTAGGGTACTCTTGTTGGTCAGCAGCTGTCCTTGATGGACATGGAAGTCCAAGGCGGTGATATTGGATTTGGGGTCTGGCAGTAATCAAGGTTGAGAAGTGTCCCAGTGGTGGCCCAAGGCTGCTGTCTTCCAAGTGTGGCATTAGGGGCAGGGCACTGGGTTGCAAGTCTCATGGTCTGCTGGATGTCAGGGGAACTCAGCCCACGAGGAAAGAGCTGTGTTGCAATGCTGGAGGCCTGTTCTGGGCCCTTCCCTGTTGGGTGAGGGTCCAGTGGGCTCAGACTGCTGGCACCCCAGTGCCTCCTGCCTAATGGGGACAACAGGGTGAATGGCCCAGCTAGCCATACCGCAGGGTGGGATTCCAGGAGGTGCCGCATGGGGGTGCAAGTACTCAAGGGACCACAAAGGGGCACAGAGGTGGGGACCAACAGGAAGGTGTAGTGCAGGGTGTGGGTGAAGAGCCCAAGACAGGACGAGTGAGCAGCTGTGCACCATCGCACCATCAGGGTAGGCACAAGGCCAGGCAGAGATCGTAGCAATGGCAGGATGCTCTGCTCAGTGTGGCCTCGGGCCTCTGCCCCGCTACCCCACCTCAGAAAGCCTCCTGGGATGTTACCTCCTGCCCATTTACCAGGAGGCTAGTAGGGGCTCTCACCAGAAGACCTTCCCCATCCCCTACCCTGAGGCTGGTGCCCAAGCTAGGCCTTGCCCCCTACAGCACCTGAATCCCTCTCTCCCAATGTAGAGCCTTTATTTCAGAGCTGGAGGGGGATTGATGGGGGGGGGGGGGCGAAGGGACCCCAGAGCAGGCTCTTGGGTTATGTGGTGTGCATCCTTAGTCCTCCTTAGTCTAGGGGTTTCCATGGTGATGCTACTGGCTTCCCCGGATCCTGAGGTTTCAGCTTTTCCTTTTGCTGCTACCAAGTGATAGCTGGCCCTGAGGATGCTACCTCAAGGAAAGAGATATCTGACTGCAGGGTAAGCAGGCTGTAGGTGGCCTAGGGCAAGGACAGAGGAGGGGAGACTCCACAAAGAGGAAGGACCATCACACTGAAGGTCCAAGGCAACAAAGGGAGTGAGCTGCCCATGTGAAAAGATGGAAGTGCTATACCTAGATAGCACCCTATCACCCCTACTAGGCAGTTGTCTGCCTCCTCCTCATCACTGTGGTCATCATTGAAGGTTTTAGTCTTACTTGCTGCTGGCACCACTACATCCCTGTTTTCATAAGACAGCAAGCTTAGCTGTTCTCAGGAAGATAACTGAGAAACATTTCACTAAAACATGTCTCTGTATTGGCCCAAAGGCACAGAGGAGAATCCAAGTATTTACTGGGCTCTCAGTGCTTTCATGGATTGTGTTTTGACAGAAACTGAAGTGGGTGTAGAGAGATTTCTTTAATTTAGATCTTCTTTACCATTTCACAAGTTGTTACCATTTTACAATTTTATGTTAATCTACTTTTTATATCAAATTGCTTTTAAATTTATTTTAATTTCTTAAAAAAGATTTTACTTATTTTTAGAGAGAGAGAAAAGGAGGGAGAAAAAGAGGGAGAGAAACATACACTGGTTGCTTATGGTACAAGGGACTAAACTAGCAACACAGGCATGTGCCCCAACCGGGAACCCAAACAGCGCTTGCTCTCTCTCTCTCTTTTTAAGGAATTTATTTATTTATTTATTTATTTATTTAATGAGAGGGAAAGGGAGGGACAGAAATATCAATGTGCAGTTTTGCCTCTTGTGCGCCCTCTACTGGGAACCTGGCCCACAGCCCAAGCGTGTGCCCCGGACTGGGAATCAACCCCCAACCCTTTGGTTTGCAGGCCAGCCCTCGATCCACTCCACCACATCAGCCAGGGTGTCAACTGGTGATCTTTAATTTTGTGATGAAGTGCAACCAACTGAATCACGCAGGTCAGGGCTTCCCCCGCCCCTTAATTTTGAAGATTTTCTTTATTTTCCCTGGCTAGTATGGCTCAGTGGATTGAGTACCAGCTTGCAAACCAAAGGGTAGCAGTTTCAATTCCCAGTCAGGGCACATGCCTCAGTTGCAGGCCAGGTCCCCAGTAGGGGGCGTGCAAGAGGCAATCACACACTGATGTTTCTCTCCCTCTTTTTCCCTTCCCCCTCTATAGAAATAAAATCTTTAAAAACAAAGGAACTCTTACCTTTAAAAGAAAAATTTTATTTATTTTTATTGAGAGGATAAGGGAGGGAGAAAGAGAGGGAAACACTGATGTGAGAAACATCGATGGAGAGGTTGCTTCTGACACATGCCCCTGACCAACCAGGGCTGAACCGCAACTCTGGCATGTGCTCTGATCCGGAATCAAACTGGCAACCATTCGCCCTGCAAGACAATGCCCAACCAATCGAGCGACGCTGGTCAGGGCTAAATTGACCTTTAAAGGGCATTTATTTCACAGCAGAAAGAGTGGAGGTGCAAGCTGAGCACATACCCAGCCTTTGCAGGGCGGATTCGGACATCTACCCATAAAAGGGAAGGTTGTAACTCCACCTTCCCATTCCCCTCCCTCCCCCAACTGCAGTCTCAGTGTGTGGATTGAATGATCCTAAGTAAATCCCAGGTGTGGGAGTTGTCTTGCCTCTGGGCCTGGGAGCTCAGGTACCTATAGCCACAGTCTTTCAAGTATGCTGCCTCAGATTTCTGGGTTATCTGGAAACTTCAGCAGCCCCGACCCCAAGTACCTGGAGACTGTGTGCATCCTGTTTTGTGAGCCCACTGCATTCACCCATCTCCACAAAGGTCTGAGTGTCTCACCCATCAACTACAGTCTAGTGGGCTGGGAAAGGCAGGTGCTGATCTGGAGCTTTAAGGGCCCAGAGGACTGTCAGGGCTCATTCCGGTTGCTGAGCAATGCATTGGCCTGTGGCTTGTCTGCACTGCAGATCTAATCCAGGGACAGGTGACCAGGGCCATCGCTCTAGACTACCAACTAAAAATATGAAATTGGACCTACACTGCACATTGGAAAAAGCAGTAAAAGTGTCCTGGACCTCTGGGCATTCAGTGTATGTTGCGTATAAGAGACTTTTCCTCCCTAGACATATGTGAAAAATATGCAAATGCGGTATAATAGTGCTAGCTATTCCAACTCCTTGTCAACATGATGGTGTTCACAGTTAGAATACAGTTACTATATAATATGATCAATCCTGAAAGATCCTGACTATTCCATGGGTAGTTTGTAGCCCATGGGTAGGTTGAAGTTTGGAAATTATAACTCCTATCAATATATGGATTTGATTTTTATAACATTTAACTTGAAGCTGCACTTCCGTGTAAATGGGGTTTCTTTGGTCTTGTGTCCATAGGCTAGTATTTTACTCGGAGCCTTATAATCTGACGCTTTTATGTTCTCAGGTGTCTCAAAAGGTAGGGTGTGGGGGCGGGGGAACAAACTCCTTTACACCTCGGGTATCTCGAACGGAGTAACAATTGCCTACCAGATCCTACACGTGCTTAGGAGTGTGGGAAAGAGGGGTTAAGTAAAAACGGAAACTGCCAGGACTTAAGATGTCTGGCCAAAGCCAGTTCGATCTCCCAGGAAGGGCCTACCCACTTCCAAAATGTCTCCCCGCAGTCCTGACGTCACTCGATGGGTTTCAGCAAGCCAAAAAGCCACTGTGCTCCAATCAGGGCTCAGTTCCCTCACCCACTGCCCTTGATTTACGTCACTTCCGGTGGTGCAGCAGCCATTTTGTCAGTCGCCAGTGGATCCCGTGCGCTGGAGAAGTGCAGTTCCCCCTAGTTACCAACTCGTTAGTTTTCCCTTCACGTTGCGGGTGCGGTCGAAGAGCACTCACCAGGCATTGCCGTTCCTCCCTACAGTGTCGCCGCAGCTGTTACATCCGCCCGGAGCTAGTGACGCTGTCTTCCTCCCTCGCCACTGACAGGCGCCCTCAGGTAGCCTGGGTCAGCGATGTCAAGCGAGGAAAGCTACCGGGCCATATTGCGCTACCTGACGAACGAGTGCGAGCCGTATGCGCCGGGCACAGAGGGAAATGTCAAGCGTAAAATCCGCAAGGCTGCAGCCTGCTACGTGGTGCGCGACGGGACCTTGTACTACCAGCGTCGGCAAAGGCACCGCAAGACCTTCGCGGAGCTGGAGGTGGTTCTGCAGCCAGAGCGGCGCTGGGGGCTCATCGAGGCGGCGCACCTGGGCCCTGGCGGCACTCACCACACCCAGCATCAGACCTGGCACAACTTGTCCAAGACGTACTGGTGGCGAGGTAGGATCTCCCCCGCGGCCAGGGGGTGGGCTGGCGGCTTGCTCTGCAGGCAGGGCCCGATGACTTAGGCGGGCCTAGGCCTTTCTGCAGAACCGCAAGTTTGTGGGTCCGTCACCCCGCTTTTCGGTCGCCCTTCGCTGTCCCAGGCTACACGCTAGTTGGTGGAGCGGGTGCCAGGCGGAGCCGAGAGTGGAGGGACGGGAAAGAAGCCGTACTTCCCACAGGAAGGAGCCCTGGGAAGCTGGGGGCGGGCCCTGACCCGGGGTGGGGCGAAGGGGGCTTCCCCGGGGGCGGGCCAGACGCGGGGTGGGGCTGGGACTAGCGAACAGTGCAGGGCCCGCCTCCTCAGCTCCGGGGGAGGGTCTGGGCTGCGTACCGCGTTTGCGGAGGCTGCTTGTGGTGCTAATGGTTTGGGGGAGTGTCTGCCGAAAGCCTGGGCTCCTTTTTCCAGTGTGTTGCGGTAGGGTTTTGGCCAGCGTGTTTGAGTTTCTCTGGACCCGTGTACCCTATTCCCAAAATTGTGCTACTGCGGCGTAAATAAGAAATAATGTATGTGCAGAAGTGATTTGGAGGAACTGTGGAAACAATCACGTTGAACCTCTTTTTTAGGGCAAGAATTCAATGTAAAGAATAGCAGATGTCTTAGTTTTGAATGTTTTAATACTTTTCCTTTTAATACTGTGAAAAACGTTTAAATACGGTTACTGTGATTGTTATAGTCAGGAAGTATAGTTCTAGTTTTTCTACTCCTTAGGAACCAGTTTCGGGGAGGAGAACGAGAGTCTTTGAGGTCAGTGAACAGGGAATGGTCATGGTACTCTAACGGGGATGGGAAGGGAGGTTCTTGAACAGCTGACAGGAGCCAATTGTTCATCTTTGTAAATAGATCTCTAGAGCAGTGGTTCTCAATCCGGGACGATTTTGCCTCCCAGGGGACGTCTGGCTATGGGATTGTGTTGGCATCTAGTTGGGTAGAGGTCAGGGATGCTCCTGTACATTCTACAATGCACAGGATAGGATAGCCAGTCCCCCTCCCCACCCGCCGCACCCCCTACAGGAATCATCTGGCCCAAAATGTCAACACTGCTGAGGTTGAGAAACCCTGCTCTTGAGTGAGAAACAGTTCCTCAAGTTGTTTTATTCGAGGACGACGCATTGAAGTCATTCATTTTACTTTGTTCTGAATCTTTACTGAATAAAGAACCTTTTAATGGTAATTTGAGTTTTTTTGTGGATTTTAAAAAACTTTTTTACTCAGTTGGTTTTAGAGAGACAGTAGAAGGGGTGTGGAGAGAGAGAAACATCGATTTTTTGTTTCACTTATTTATTTATTTATTCATTCATTGGTTGCTTCTTGTATGTGCCCTGACCGGACCCGCAACTTTGGCTTATTGGGACAACACTCTAACCAACTGTTACCTAGCCAGTGCCTGGACTTTTTATTTTTTTATTTTTTTTAACGTACCAAAGAGGTTGCCTGGTAAGCATTATTTAACAAACACTTGTGTAGTAGTTACTGAGTGTCGGGCACTGTTCAAAGTGCTTATACATATTAACATTTAAACCAGTTGATGACACACAGGCGTAGAGAGTTTTAGAGACTTGGCCATGGTCACAAAGCTATTTAGAGGATTCATACTTCGCTGCACAAGTAATTTCAGTCCTTTGCAGTAATTTCCCACTCTTAAAGTAGTAAATCAACTATGTTTACACATTGATGTCTTTTGAGTCCTTAACTTGAGTCAGATTCTTTCAGCTTCTCAGCTCTGGGTAAATTAGGAGGTAAGATTTCTGCATATGTAAAGGTAGATGAAAAATGGACGATCAACCCTGACTGGTGTGGCTCAGTGGACTGGGTGTCATTCTGCAAACCAAAAGGTTATTGGTTTGATTTCCAGTCAGGGCACATGCCTGGGTTGCTGGTGAGGTCCCCGGTTGGGGGCACACAAGAGGCAACCGTGCATTGATGTTTCTCTCCCTTTCTTTCTCTCTCCTTTCCCCTCTCTCTAGAAATAAATAAAATCTTTAAAAAATGATCCTATCAAAACACTAACAATCAAGTTAAAGGTCTTATAAAGCATAATAGGGTGATTTTTTTTGAGACAGTTGATTGACTATCATACATTCATACCATTTTTTCTTGTAGTATTTATTATTTTTCATCCTGTTCAAATGCTTCTGTGTGGTTTCTTCAGTACCATTTGAACTCAACCAGTTAATAGTTTAATCAAACCTGTGCTGAATGCAGAATATACTAAATAGTGTAGAATAATAAAATGTTTAGAAATACAGTAAGTTAATTAGAAAAAAAACTGCCTCTTCTTTATTTTGGACATGAAAATTTTCATAGCAACACTTCTTATTCTCTGTTTCTTACTAAGAATTTTATATATATGTGTGTGTGTGTGTGTTTCTTCTCTTACACCATTTTTCACCCATTCACATACTCATTTTTTATTATGGTAAAATATCTGTAACATGAAATTGATCAGTTTAGTCATTTAGGTGTACGAATTGTGGCATTAAGTACATTTAGATTGTTGAATAACCGCTACAACTATTCATCTTCAGCAAATTTTCATTATTCCAACCTGTTTACTTTTTTTTTTACAAAGAGAATGAATGTCTTTTCATTTTTTTTTGCAGAGAAAATGAACATCTTTTTCATTTACCCTCTTTTCAAATGGTTTTGTTTATTTATTTAGAGGGGAAAGCAGGGAGAATGAGAGGGAGAGAAACTTCAATGTGCCAGAGAAACATCGATTAGTTACCTCTCGCTCATGCCCCAACCGGGGACCAGGACAGCAACCCAGGCATGTGCCCTGACCTAGGATCGAACCTTTTGCCTTGTGGGGTGATGCCCAACCAACTGACTCTCTCCAGATAAGGCTCCATTTACACTTTTTAAAAAAGATTTTTATTTATTTATATTTAGAGAGAGAGGAAGGGAGGAAGAAAGAGAGGGAGAGAAACATTAGTGTGGTTGCCTTTCACACGTCCCCTACTGGAGATCTAGCCCACAACGCAGGCATGTGCCCTGACTGGGAATCCAACAGCGACCCTTTGGTTCATGGGCCAGCACTCAGTCCACTGATCTACACCAGCCAGGGCCAATTTATTCTTAATTGTATGTAAACTATATGTCTGTTCAGACTCTTGATTGTTTTTTTTTAACCTATTCATTATACCCCATATAGGTATAGACTTGTTATTGATTTTAATATTTTTAGATGCTAGAATATAACCTCTGTTGCCCTTTGAATCTACGCATATATAAAATACCTTTTTAAATGAAAGTTATGTTTAATCTTAACCTATTATTTTCTCAGTTATCTGCTAAAAGAATGGTATTCTGTGAACAAACAAATTTAGCAACTTCCTAGGTTAAAAAGGTTTCTTTACTGTTGAACTGAGAGCTTTTAATGTGATAATATACATTGTATATGTCTAAAATTAGACTATAATTTCTGAATTTATTAGTCCAGTGTATACTTTTTTCTTAAGTAAGGAACATAATACAATTTGAGAAATACCGCTTGACTGTTCTCTGAAAGTTGAAAGCAAGGAACTTGGTATATTTTGATATCTTGAAACTCTTTCCAGGAACTTAAATACCTCTGTATCGTTTTAGCTAGTTAACAAGCCTTTTCATTTGCATTTTACTTGGGCATTGTGGGGGAAGAAGTTTCTGCCACAGGATGTGTTCCTGGGTAAGTAGTATAATATATGGAAAATCTCATGGCTTCTGGGGGCCCAGATATGCAATTTATTAGATGTGACTTTGGACTAGTTACTTGCCTCTTAGGGCTTCATTCTCCCAGTGTGTAAAATGATAATTAATTGGTTCTAACTTATAAGGATGATGGGTGTGTGTGTGTGTGTGTGTGTGCGTGTGTACAGTAAGCTCTTATTTAATGTACTCTATAGTTTGTGACTTGAAGCAAAATGATGTATAACAAAATAAATTTTACCATGGGCTAATTGATATAAACAAGAGTTACGTTCCTGCTTAACTCTTAATCTGATCAAAGTTACAACAAACCAAAATTGAACAAAACGACATTATTCAAGGACTTGCTATATATAAAAAATGTTCCTTCCTGCTCCCTACCCTGACCCCAACATGCTGAGCTGGAAGTTGAAATTCAAAATAGGGTTTTGCGAATAGCTTGTATCATTGAACTTTTGTTAGTTGTATATGAAGTTATTTCTTATAAACTTAAAATCTCAAAGCTTTCACAAACACAAGATTTATTTTATCTGATTATAAATGGTTTGCTTGTAGTCCTGTTCAGGTCACAGATTGGTTCCACCTGTCTTTTTTTCAGCTGCAGTTCAGGCTAGAGGACAGCATCCATCTAGAACATGTTGCTCTTTGAGAGGAAACAAAGATCAGAGAGCTGATGGGAAACAGCCTGTTAAGCTTCTAAGCATATATGGCACACATATCCATTGACCAAAGCAAATTTTATGGTCAAGCCTGTTCGTAGGGTGGAGAGGTGTTACCTTGAGCCGATTATATTACTGTTTCTAAAGGTCAAAAAACAGTTGAACATTGAAGTTCATGTAGTACCTAATTGCATGAATGAGTACAGCTCATGTGAAAATGGGCAGTACTACATAGGTGTACGATGGAGAAGTGAATAACCAGGAATAAACAATGAAATAATTTACTTAACATGGAAAGAAACCATCATTTATAACCTTATATCTTTGAAAAAATGTATCTTAAATTCTAAAGAACTTCCTCTACGTACTTTATGGGGCACATGTGGGTCCACACGTGTGTGCTGGCACATACATAAGTATAACTCAAATGAAATAATCAACAATATAATCTTCAGTTTTCAGATGAGAACAGTATTAAAATTGACTTACTAATTTTTATTTCCATTGTAGGTATATTAAAGCAAGTCAAAGATTATATTAAACAGTGTAGCAAATGCCAGGAGAAACTAGATCGTTCCCGTCCAATATCAGATACTTCAGAAATGTTGGAAGAATTGGGACTAGACCTTGAATCTGGAGAAGAAAGTAATGAATCAGAGGATGACCTGAGCAACTTTTCTTCAACTCCAAATACAGCCTCCAAGCCTGCAAAAAAGAAGCCAATATCTAAACATGAACTTGTATTTGTAAGTGGAACTTTTCATTCAACTTTAACATGTGTAACTAGTATATTAGTATTTGTAGTCTTTGTGAATTTTCCCTTAAATTGCTAAAACTGCTTGAGTATTGGCACTGACACTGAAGATGAAGCAAGTCTATGTCAAAAGTAATACACTATGTTATAGACACTAAAAGTATGTTAATATTGCCTCTTCATTAATCATAAATATTCCTATTGTTTCTAATCTTCAAAATGTCACTTGTTAATCACTCTCTTCTTTTTTAATGGTATGTTGATACTGGTAGAATACATTTCTGGAAGCACTCTTTGAGTCATGCAGCAAGGTGAAATTAATCTAGCTGGGTCTTTTTTTTTCTTTTTTCTTTCTGCCTGCATTAGTTTTATCTGTTATCAATTCCTAGCAAGAAGAGGCCTCAAGATGTGAAATACAGGTTTTCAAGTAGAATGAACATAGCAGAAAAGAGTGAGAACAACATGTCTTTTCATTTAAATACATAGGTTATAATGATAGAATATCCGGTTATTTCTTTATATTAGTGTTATCTTTTAAAAGGGAATGATGTGTCTTGTTCTAAATTCTGTTAAGGGTAGAAATACAGATGATACGTAATTACAACTCTTGGTCTCAAACTTATTTTGATAGGTTGACACAAAAGGAGTGGTGAAACGTTCTTCTCCAAAACATTGTCAGGCTGTCTTAAAACAGCTGAATGAACAGAGACTCTCCAACCAGTTCTGTGATGTTACTTTGTTAATTGAAGGAGAGGAGTACAAAGCCCACAAATCTGTTTTATCAGCTAATAGTGAATATTTTCGAGATCTTTTTATTGAGAAAGGAGCTATTTCCAGTCATGAGGCAGTGGTGGATCTTTCTGGTAAGAATTTTCTAACACTCATGCTTTTTGTTTGTAAGTACATATAAGATGGGTATATATGTATTTTAGCAAGGTTTTCAAGGGAGATTTAAGGAAAAGGCTGTCATTTCCTATTGCTGTCCCTTAGATGAGACAATGGTAGCAGTAGAAGAATATCTGGGATTTACACTGTTAAAAAAAAAATGGAAAGAAATCCATAACTGCATCAATGTTATTACACAAAGTAGTTATGTTATTTAAAAATTGACTGCCCCCCTGACTCTATGGCTCAGTGGGCTGGGTGTCATTCTGCATATCAAGAGGTCACTGGTTCAGTTCCTGGTCAGGGCATCTGCCTGGGTTGCAGGCCAGGTCCTCAGCTGGGGCCATGCAAGAGGCTGGTGATGGATGTTTCATTCTTTCCCTTTCTCCCTCCCTCCCCCTCCCTCTAAAGATAAATAAATAAAATCTTTAAAAATTGACTGCTTATATATTATGTTGTAGATCATGTACTAGAGCACTTGTGTAGGTCTGGTTCTTGTTTTTTAAGATTAATCATTAAAATTAATTAGGTGCAATAACCAAATTGTCAATGTAGATAATCAGAATTCTAGGTTTGGGTTTATTTTTTTGTTCCTTTTGTTTTATTATTATTGTAAATGAATAATTTGACTTTTTTGGCCTTACTGGAACTTTTATCAGGGCTTAGAAGTCAATAAATGAAAATTTAGGAAGAATTGAAATATCTAACTTTATTTATCCATTTTCTCATGATACTAACTTGCTGCAACTCTTAAATTACTGACATCACTGTGTAAAGTGTCATTTATCTTTCTGAAACAGAACAGTATCTTTATCCAGGCATGTAAACACTTAACCTAGTTAACCTGATTCTTTTCTACCTTATAATTTTAAACTTATTTCTTCTCAAAGACAAATACATGTATTTTTTTCTTAGCAGTATATATATATATAAGGGGGAACCCCCCCTAACAAAAAACAGAATATCTTCCAGAGGGGAAGAACCTTTGTAGTACAGGTTTCGCCTGCTAAGAGAGTACTCTAGGAACTTATCTGTATCAGAGTACCAGCTGGTGTTGTTGGAAGGGGCTGTGTTTGGCTTCAGTGAATTTTTTTGAAGACTCTTTCAGTGCATTTGCCCATTTCATGATGGGTGATTTACAAGCACACCTGCACACACCACACTGAGTGTGTAGCAGTTTTTGACCAAAAATGACATGACCCCCATGCCCCACCATATTCACTGGATTTTGTTCCAAGTGACTTTTTTTTTTCCCCTGGATGAAAAAAATCCTTAAAGGGAAATGTTTTGCCAGTGTGGAAGAGATGAAACAACAACAACAACAAAAAATGGCAGAAGCACTGAAAGGCATCAAAATTGATGAGTTCAGAAACTGTTTTGAGCAGTGGAAAAAATGTCTTGATAGGTGCATTGTGTCAAATGGAGAGGACTTTCAAGGTGACTGAATTTAAATATGTAAGAGTAAATACACAAGTTTTTATAAATTCTGTTTTTTGGGGGGTCCCCCTTTGTATTTTTAGTTATTAAAAATTTATTAAGCATCCACTGCATGTAAAGAGGAATGTAATGGTGTGCAAAACCTTTTATAGAACATAGAGTTGTGTTACAATCTAGATTACTGATGTTTGCTTTTGTTTTATACTGGGCCATCTGAATAATAAAACTTATCACAGGTATAGTCTTTTGATATGTTAGCTTTGGAATTTTTTTTGTCTTTCATGCATCTGAAGCAAAAAGAAATGTATGAGTGTTCCTCTTTCAGTTTCTCATAACAAATTTTTTATAGCAAATTAAATGTCTGCCCCCAAATAACTACAATACAGACTCCTAATATTTAAAAAAAATAATTCATTCTTCATTCCATATGCTTATTTTTATGTTTGTTCAGCAAATATGATGTAAAACAATGACAGGTAAAGTAGACATTCAAAATTTTTGTTTGATTTAATATTAAGTACATAAAAAATGTTTATAAAATACGTGTACAACCCTGACTGGTTAGCTCAGTTGGTTGGAGCACAGTCCCAAGGGTTCAACCCCTGTCAGGGCACATTCTAGAATCAACCAGTGAATGCCTACATAAGTGGAATAACAAATCGATGTTTTTTTTCTTGCTCTTCATCTCTCTCAGATGAATAAATAAAAATTTAAAAAAATTTTTAAAGTGTATGTACTATATTTTAAAAATGTACATATATTTTTTAAATATTTTATTTTTTGGAAGGAAAGGAGAGAGAAAAAGAGGGAGAGAAATATCGATGTGTGAGAGAAAATGTCGATCCATTGCCTTTTACACACCCCCAACCAGGGAGCTGGCCCTCAACCCAGGCATGTGCCCTGACCCAGTTGGAACTGGCAACCCTTCCGCTTGCAGAATGGCACTCACCCCAGGGAGCCTCACCAGCCAAGGCAAAAAAAAAAAAAATGTACGTCTGTTTTTTAATTATCTAGCTTAATGTAGTTCAATTCAGTGTTTATGTTGTTTATACTTAAAATTCTTTCCTACTTAGGTATTTTTATATATTGTCTTAAATTTTGATAGTTTTTCTTTCATATTTAATTTTTTAAAGGAGTTTATTTATTTATTTTTAGAGAGGGGGAGGGGAGAGAGAAACATCAATTAGTGGCTTCTCATACCCACCCTGACTGGGGACCCAACCCATAGCCCAGGCATGTGCCCTGACTGGAATTGAACTGACAGCCTTTATGCTCAGCCAACTGAGCCACACCGGTCAGGGCTCATATTTACATTTTAGTCTATTTGGAATTCATTCTTATTGGTGTGAAATAGGTGTTTGATACCATTTTCCTCCATTTTGATCATCACTTGTCTCAGAACCATTTAGTGAAAACTCCATCTTCTTTTCACCCAAAGACAAAACAAATCTCCACGTGTTTGGTACTGATTCTAGGCTTTGCTCTAATCTATTGGTTATTTATTTCTACACTCTTATCACTTGGTCTTAATTACCTTAGCTTTATAATAAGAGGAGGAGTCTCCCACCTTTATTATTCAGGTGAGTCTTAGTTATTCATAGCCATGTGCTATTTCACATAAACTGTCAAAGCAACTCCTCAACTTCCACTGAAAGAACAAAGTATTTTGATAGAAATTACATCAGATTAATAAAGTTTTAGAGATTTATCCAATAAAAGCCTCATACATCTTTTGCTATATTATTTGAAGGTACTTTATACTTTTTGATGCTATTATAGTTTTTTCTTCTTAATATTACATAATTTCTGATGTATTGCTGGTATATATTGATTTTATATACAGTAATACTAATACATTTCTTTAATTCAGACCTTTATCTAGAAATTTTTTGAGATATTTCACATAAAGTAATTACTAATAGTAATGTTTTTGTTTCTACCTTTCCGGTCCTTATATTTTGAACTACCCCCCCCCCCCCCCCGCCTTGCTTTACATTGCTGTCCAGGACATTAAAAAAACAGTAGTTGAATAGAAATGGTGATAGAAGGTTCACTTACATGATTCTCATTTCTTTTTTTTTTTTTTTTAAGATTTATTTATTTATTTTTAGAGAGGGAAGGGAGGGAGAAAGAGAGAGAGAGAGAGAAACATCAGTGTGCGGTTGTTGGGGGCCATGGCCTGCAACTCAGGCATGTGCCCTGGCTGGGAATTGAACCTGTGATACTTTGGTTCGCAGCCTGCACTCAATCCACTGAGCAACGCCAGCCAGAGCGCTGATTCTCATTTCTAAAGAAGTTTTTTTGTTGTTTTTACCATGAACTCTGTTGTTTGGTATATGTTTTAAGTAGATAACCTTTCACCCCTGTTAACATTAAGGAAATTTTCTCTTAAGTGTGTCTTGACTTACCACAGACTTTCTCTGTATCTATTAAGACAGTCTTTATTTTTCTCATTCTGTTAATGTGGGAAATTATGTTGATTTTCTAATGTTAAGCCAGGTTTCATTTATGAAATTAATCTAATTTAGTCATGATATATTAGCTTTTGTATAAATTGCTGTTTGATTTGTTAATACTATTTAAAACATTTGTGTCTACCTTCATGGGTAGATTTAGTTTTTCAAATTGGTTCTGTCATGTTTCTCATAAAATGTGTTCCTTCCAGTTTTTACATACACTGAAAGAGTTACTATGAGATTACAAGTGTTTGTTGCATGTTTCATAGAATGGTGACTAAGATTTTCTGTGCCTATAGTGAACTCTGGGAGAAGACTTTTAACTGCTAATTTGACAAGTTTAATGGTTAGGAATTGTTCAGTTTTTCTATTTCATCTTAAGTAATTGACTAAAAAATTGTTTTTGCCAGAATTTGTCTGTTTCATTAAAAGTTTCAAGTTTATTGGCATAAAATTTTTCATAGTATTCTCTTCTAAATATCTCCAGTGACTTTAGATATGTTTTATTCTTTAGTACCAATTATTTGTGTCTTTTTTTAAGGTTTTAATTATATTTTAGAGAGAGGGGAAGGGAGGGACAAAAAGAGGAGAGAAATGTCAATGTGTGATTGCCTCTCATGCACCACCTACTGGGCATCTGGCCCACAACCCAGGTGTGTGCCCTGACTGGGAGTTGAACTGGCAACTCTGGTTCACAGGCCAGCACTCAATCCACTAAGCCACACCAGCCAGGACTCAGTTATTTGTGTCTTTTCTCTTAAAAATTTTTTAAAAAAGATTTTATTTATTTACTTTATTAGAGAGGAAGGGAGAAAAAGAGGGAGAGAAATAGCAATGTTTGAGAGTTACATGGATCAGGGCTGCCTCTCGCACACCCCCAAGCAGGGACCTTGCCTGCAACCCAGGTCTGTGCCCCAACTGGGAATTGAACCAGTGACCCTTTGGTTTGCAGGCCGGCACTCAATCCACTGACCCACACCAGCCAGGGCTAAAAAAATTTTTTTATTAAGGTTTACTTTTTAAAATCCTGCAAAAGCAGGCATCAGTAAACTACATTTGCAGGCCAAATCTGGCCCCATTATCTG